AACAGTAATCCTGACATTACGACAGGGCCATAGATCCTGTAGAACTGTGTCAGCACATAGCTGCTTGCGAGAGGAAATTAGAGGAGAATGATCACCGCATGGATCAATTCACTCAGGCTTTAAGTATGCTTCTCGCTAGAACGGAGCACCTGCAGCGTCTCCTCCTATAGCACCTCTACCCTGTGTACCTCCACCCACTGTTAATAGGACTCCTTGCATCTCCTTCTCACCATCCCTACAGTTTGATGGCAATATCCAGGAATGCAGGGGTTTTCTTAATCAGGTGGAGTACCATTTTGAGGCCTCACCAGGGTCATTCCCCACGGACAGAGCAAGAATTGGTTATCTAATGAATCAATTAAAGGGCAAGGCCCTTGCCTGGGCTAATCCGTTGTGGGAGAGTAATCGGAGCATAGCTCATAATTACCAGGAATTCCTTGCCGAATTCAAGCTCACGTTTGAGCCATTGGGTAGAGAGGATGACGCCTCCACTGCCCTAATGCACATCAGGGATTATGCTATTGAATTCCGTACCTTAGCTTCCGAGGTAGACTGGACTAACAATGGGTTAATCTCAGCATTCAAAAAGGGTCTCTCAGAGACTATACTAGATGAGATAGCCGCTAAAGAATTACCTAAGAGTCTTAACGAATTTATTACGTTTGTCATGCATATTGATAATAGGTTAAGACTCAGAGAAGTCACCAGAAGCAAGACCAGACGTACGGCTATGTCCCTAGCACCTCAATTCTCTAAATCTGTTTTGTCTAACCTCCCTGTACAGTCCGAACCCGAACCTATGCAGTTGGGGGTCACTAGACTGTCAGAGGCCGAAAAACAGTATAGGAGAAGGGAGGGGTTATGCCTATATTGCGGTAGAAAGGGACATATGATAACTAATTGTCCAGTGCGTCCGGAAAACTTCCGCACCTAAGAACCTTAAGGGGACAGATCTTAGGTGTGATGGAGTTGTCCTCTAACAAAAACAAAAGTAGATTCCTCCTTGAGGTATCTATTTCCCTTGATAACAAGAAGATTTCTTGCAGTGCCCTAATGGACTCAGGTGCTGCTGGAAATTTTATTGATGTCCAGTTTATTAGGGGTAATGAGATACCGGTCAGGGAGAGACCTACGCCGCTAGCTGTAGAGGCTATTGATGGTAGACCACTCACACAACCGCTTATAACCCACGAAACTGTCCCTATTACGATCTCCATTGGGGCCTCCCATAGGGAGGAGATGACGCTTCAGGTTATTACTTCTCCATCATGTCCTATCATATTAGGGTTTCCGTGGCTGAGTAAGCACAATCCCTATATTGACTGGGCTAATGGGGAGATATTAGAATGGGGTAAAGAGTGTATGGGGAGATGTATAAAACCAGTACTAAAGAGATTGGATACTATTGACCTTCCCACTACCACTCCCCAAACTCCTGGAGTTCCCATACAATACCAAGAACTTCAGGAGGTGTTTAACAAGGCTCAATCCGATGTATTGCCTCCCCACAGAGCATATGACTGTGCCATTAACCTGTTTCCAGGCGCTATGCCACCTAAGGGGGCAGTTTATGCCTTATCTCCCCAGGAGAGTAAAATAATGGAGGAATACATCAAAGAATCCTTGAGCAAAGGGCACATAAGAAAGTCATCCTCACCAGCTGGTGCAGGATTCTTTTTTGTTGAGAAAAAGGGTGGTGAGTTACGCCCTTGCATAGACTACAGGGCACTTAATAAAATCACTGTAAAAAATGCATACCCTATTCCACTCATTTCCGAATTGTTCGATAGACTTCAGGGAGCTAAAGTATTTACTAAGCTTGACCTTAGGAGCGCTTACAATTTGGTTAGAATTAAAGAGAATCATGAGTGGAAGACGGCATTTAATACCCGTAGTGGACACTATGAATATCTGGTAATGCCATTTGGGTTATGCAACGCCCCGGCCGTATTCCAAGACTTTATAAATGATGTACTCAGGGAATTCATTTACTCATTTGTCTTGGTTTATTTGGACGATATTTTGGTGTATTCCCCTGATCTTCAAACTCACCACTCCCATGTGAAACAGGTTCTGCAGACGTTGTTGAAAAATAAACTTTATTGTAAATTAGAAAAGTGCATATTTGACCAGCCTGAAGTCCACTTTTTGGGTTACAACATCTCTGCATCGGGATTTCAAATGGATCCTAAAAAACTAGAGGCTGTACTACACTGGCCATTACCCTCTGGTTTAAAAGCCATTCAAAGGTTTATTGGTTTTGCCAACTATTACAGAAGATTCATCAAGGGATTTTCTTCTGTAATAGCCCCAATCACAAATATGACTCGCAAAGGGGTTAGTAGCACGGTATGGTCCAAAGAGGCTGTGAATGCTTTTGAGACTCTTAAACAAAGATTTGCCTCTGCGGACATACTAAAACATCCTGACACCAGTAAACCTTTTATATTGGAGGTTGATGCATCCGAGACAGGGGTAGGGGCTGTTCTCTCTCAGAGAGAAAGCCAGGGAACACCATTGCATCCTTGTGGCTACTTCTCCAGAAAGATGTCTCCTGCTGAGCGCAACTATGATATTGGCAATAGAGAACTGTTGGCCATTATTCTTGCCCTCAAGGAGTGGCGACATCTTTTGGAGGGTTCCAAGGACCCCCTGTTGATCATAACCGACCACAAAAATCTGGCATATATAGGGGATGCCAAACGCTTGTCTTCCAGACAGGCTAGATGGTCACTGTTCCTTTCACGTTTTAACTTTCTCATTACTTATAGACCTGGTTCTAAAAATACCAAGGCTGATGCCTTGTCCAGGCAATTTGATAATGAGTCAGCTCCGGAACAGATGACATCTCCTATTATTCCAGCAGAGTGTATTATTGCTACTACTGTCCTCTCACTGTCTTCTCCACTGCTTGGCACCATACTGGAGGCCCAGCCTCAGGCGCCCAGTGGTAAACCGTGTGATAAACTGTTCGTTCCCCTATGTGAAAGGGTTAATATCATGAAAGTGTTCCATGACAATATAACTGCTGGACACCCGGGCATCAATAAGTCCACTGCCGCGATCACTAGATCATTTTGGTGGGATTCACTCAGGAAAGATGTAAAGGAGTATGTGCAGGCATGTTCTGTGTGTGCAGTTTCTAAGGTGACTCATGCACTTCCTTGTGGCCTGTTGCAGCCTCTTCCTGTTCCTGAGATTCCATGGTCCCACCTATCCATGGACTTTATTGTTGAGCTTCCTAGCTCTGCTGGGTTCACTACTATTCTCATGGTTGTAGACCGATTTTCTAAGATGGCTCACTTCATTCCTCTCAAGAAGTTGCCATCTTCGCAAGATTTGGTCCTAATTTTCATACGTGAAATTGTCCGTTTGCATGGCATCCCCCACAATATTGTGTCTGATAGGGGCTCTCAGTTTGTGTCCAGGTTCTGGAGGGCGTTCAGTAAACAATTGGGGATTGATCTCTCCTTCTCCTCCTCCTACCATCCACAGACCAATGGTACAGCTGAGAGGGCTAACCAGTCATTAGAAGTTTATTTGCGTTGTTTTATTAATAGCACACAAGACAATTGGTCCGAACTACTCCCGTGGGCCGAGTTCGCTAGAAACAATGCTGTTCATGACTCCTCTGGGCACAGTCCATTTTTGTCAATAATGGTAGGCATCCTACGGTTCTCCCTGCGGTATTTTCTGATACTGCCATTCCTGCTCTGGATGAGCGTCTGGCCTCCATTCGGGATACCTGGGTTAAGGTTCAAACTGCTCTAGGGACTGCTGCTGAACGCTTCAAACATTTTGCTGATAAGCGTAGGAGTGCCAACCCGGTGTACCAAGTGGGGGACCGGGTTTGGTTGTCATCTCGCAACATCAAGCTTAAGGTCCCTAGCATGAAGTTTGCCCCCAGATTCCTTGGTCCCTATAGAGTGCTTCATAGGATCAATCCAGTGTCTTACTCTCTGGCTCTTCCTGCATCTTTAGGGATTCCCAACACTTTTCATGTGTCCTTACTCAAACCTCTTGTCTGCAATAGATATACTGTTCCTTGTGTTCCTCCCCCTCCGGTGGTGGTGGGTGGTCAGGAAGAGTATGAGGTATCTTCTATCGTGGATTCTAGGTTTTCTCGGGGCACTTTACAGTACTTGGTTGTTTGGAAAGGTTACGGTCCTGCTGATCGTTCTTGGGTTTCGGCTCCTGACCTGCATGCGGGCCGTAAGATCCGCGCTTTTCACGCTAAATTTCCTCTCAAGCCTGGTCCTGTCCGCCCGGTGGGCGTTCTTCAGGTGGGGGGTAATGTCACATATTCATCCGCTTATAGAAATGTGGTTAATGACATTTACTGTCCACACAGGAAAAGTTGTGCCGAGCAGCAACCTAATCCACAGAAGGGTTAATGCTGAGCAGCAATTATGCAAATGAAACCTGGTAACTGACTTTGGGGTCAAAGGCCGGTTACAGCCTATCAGAACTAAAGGAGGGGTATTTAGGCCCAGTTCTCAGCCTGCTCAGTGCCCTGTCGTGGTTTCCCTTGTGGTTGTCTGAGAGCGCGTTCCTGTTTATAGTTTTCTACCTGGTTTTTGACTTTGGCTTTGTTTGACTTCTCTATATTCTGGTATCCTGACTCCTGGCTTTCCTCATCGCTGTGTCCCTTTCTGTGTTCCCTGACCTCGGCTAGTATTTTTGACTATTCTTTGTACGTTAAATCCGGCCATTCTAAGGACCGGTAATACGTTACTTATTTGTCATCCGTGCTGTACAGTTCTACGTGCTGGATCAAACAGTAATCCTGACACCAGGGACTGCTATATCCCCCCTCCCTGGCCAAGTATGAAACAGGGAGGGGGGACAACAAAAATAAATAATAATAATTAAATATAAATATAAAAAAATAATAATAATTTAATAAAAAATGCCACCTCACACACACTCCATTATATACACAAACACTACACAAACACACTGTGTATATAATGCAGTGTGGTTGTATAGTGTGTGTGTGTGTGTGTGTGTGTGTGTGTGTGTGTGTGTGTATATAATGCACACTACATAAACACACTGCATTATATACACACACTATACAAACTCACTGCATTATATACACACACACACTATACAAACACACACACTGCATTATATACACACAATATACAAACACACTGCATTATATACAGGGAGTGCAGAATTATTAGGCAAATTAGTATTTTGACCACATCATCCTCTTTATGCATGTTGTCTTACTCCAAGCTGTATAGGCTCGAAAGCCTACTACCAATTAAGCATATTAGGTGATGTGCATCTCTGTAATGAGAAGGGGTGTGGTCTAATGACATCAACACCCTATATCAGGTGTGCATAATTATTAGGCAACTTCCTTTCCTTTGGCAAAATGGGTCAAAAGAAGGACTTGACAGGCTCAGAAAAGTCAAAAATAGTGAGATATCTTGCAGAGGGATGCAGCACTCTTAAAATTGCAAAGCTTCTGAAGCGTGATCATCGAACAATCAAGCGTTTCATTCAAAATAGTCAACAGGGTCACAAGAAGCGTGTGGAAAAACCAAGGCGCAAAATAACTGCCCATGAACTGAGAAAAGTCAAGCGTGCAGCTGCCACGATGCCACTTGCCACCAGTTTGGCCATATTTCAGAGCTGCAACATCACTGGAGTGCCCAAAAGCACAAGGTGTGCAATACTCAGAGACATGGCCAAGGTAAGAAAGGCTGAAAGACGACCACCACTGAACAAGACACACAAGCTGAAACGTCAAGACTGGGCCAAGAAATATCTCAAGACTGATTTTTCTAAGGTTTTATGGACTGATGAAATGAGAGTGAGTCTTGATGGGCCAGATGGATGGGCCCGTGGCTGGATTGGTAAAGGGCAGAGAGCTCCAGTCCGACTCAGACGCCAGCAAGGTGGAGGTGGAGTACTGGTTTGGGCTGGTATCATCAAAGATGAGCTTGTGGGGCCTTTTCGGGTTGAGGATGGAGTCAAGCTCAACTCCCAGTCCTACTGCCAGTTCCTGGAAGACACCTTCTTCAAGCAGTGGTACAGGAAGAAGTCTGCATCCTTCAAGAAAAACATGATTTTCATGCAGGACAATGCTCCATCACACGCGTCCAAGTACTCCACAGCGTGGCTGGCAAGAAAGGGTATAAAAGAAGAAAATCTAATGACATGGCCTCCTTGTTCACCTGATCTGAACCCCATTGAGAACCTGTGGTCCATCATCAAATGTGAGATTTACAAGGAGGGAAAACAGTACACCTCTCTGAACAGTGTCTGGGAGGCTGTGGTTGCTGCTGCACGCAATGTTGATGGTGAACAGATCAAAACACTGACAGAATCCATGGATGGCAGGCTTTTGAGTGTCCTTGCAAAGAAAGGTGGCTATATTGGTCACTGATTTGTTTTGTTTTGTTTTTGAATGTCAGAAATGTATATTTGTGAATGTTGAGATGTTATATTGGTTTCACTGGTAATAATAAATAATTGAAATGGGTATATATTTGTGTTTTGTTAAGTTGCCTAATAATTATGCACAGTAATAGTCACCTGCACACACAGATATCCCCCTAACATAGCTATAACTAAAAACAAACTAAAAACTACTTCCAAAAATATTCAGCTTTGATATTAATGAGTTTTTTGGGTTCATTGAGAACATGGTTGTTGTTCAATAATAAAATTAATCCTCAAAAATACAACTTGCCTAATAATTCTGCACTCCCTGTACACACACTATACAAACACACACATTGCATTATATACACACACACACTATACAAACACACACTACACACACACACTGCATTATATACACACTATACAAACACACACACACTGCATTATATACACACACTACACAAACACACTGTGTATATAATGCAGTGCGTGTTTGTGTAGTGTGTTTATATAATGCAGTGTGTGTATATATAATGCAGTGTGTTTGTGTAGTGTGTTTATATAATGCACACTACACAAATACACTGCATTATATACACACTATACATTTTATAAACACACTACATTCACTATACACACTACACAAATACACACACACTCTGCATTCATTATATACACACTACACAAACACACACACTTTGCATTTAGTATATACAGCATTCACTTTACGCAAACTACCCATACACTACACAAACACTCTGCTTTCATTATATACACACTACACTAATACACACTGCATCCACTACACACACTAGACAAATACACACTGCATCCACAACACACACACTACACAAACACACACTGCATCCACTACATACACACACACTACACAAACACACACTGCATCCACTACACGTGGCATGTATATTTTGTGCATTTACCTTAAGAAATAGTTTTTATTTTCCAAAATGTTAAATGTACAGAATATCGGCAAATTATATCGGCTATCGGCCTGGAAGGTCACAGAATATCGGTATCGGCTCTAAAAAATCAATATCGGTCGATCCCTAATATATACACACTTTTCACTTATAACTTACTATAAGTATATTAATCATATATAATTAGTATTATGTTAATAATATAGACTATTCATGGATAAATATCAATGAAGAAATATCATATTATTTACTAATGTTAGTGGAGTATAAATAATTTTAAACACAGTTTCACACAAGAAAACAAGACAGACACCAAATGACACTAAATAATAAATTTTACTTTAAAAAAAAAAAAAAAAAAAGAACTAACGGAATCTTACAAAGTTGCATTACAAGAGGTGAAAAAGAGTTTAGAGATGTCAGAAAGCTAGATTTAAAGGTATATCCCAGACAGTAAGACTGGGAAAAGTCTTTGAAGATAACCGGTTCTTTCATATATTGTAGCTATAAGAGATAACAAAATTACGTCAAACGCATCACTAAATTCAGTTAACCCAATATACAAAAAGGTAAATGGACCCCTGATAAGAATTTTCAGTGATGTAATAGCGCCATCTACTGACCAAAAACTAGATGATAGTCTGTAGGGAAGACACACCTACAGTTCCCTATTGGTCCTATCGACTAGTGACTGGCAGAGAATTTTCCCCTTTAAAAAGTAAGGACAAAAGGAAGAGAGGACACATTCTGACTCTGAAACACTCTCAAACTCTTAAGGACTTACATATTCTGACTCATGGACTGGACTCAAGGCTCCCACTTCCAGACTCTCAAATACTCTCTTGGACACACCTAATTCTTAGTATTTTCTTTTCCAACTAACACAACTTCCGAACTCTGAAAACTTTTCTATTTTCCACAATTCTCATCATACTTGCATTCAAAATTCCTGGGACACATCTACACATCTGATAGAAAGTCTACAACCTCAATGGTAATTATGCTGGTTTTATTTAATTTAATTAAATTAATACATTTTTACTAATATCAGGAATACATATCTGGATAAATATTGGTCAGATATCAATTATTAGAAATCATAATTGGCTAAGGAATATATGGTTATAAAAATTCCATTCCTGCAGGTGGAATAAAGATAACAATATATTAACTGTAAATTTGCCAAATGTTAGCATACCAAATTTTTATCCAGAGGTATTGACTTGTTCTGATAAAAAAAAAAAATAGATAATCTTAATTAGGAAAGTAAAAATTCTGCAAACGTAAAATCTGGTTAGAATTATTCTTATTGGATGGTCCTAGGAATGGTGAATGATCTTGCCTATGAGGATTGTAGCCAGTAGTGGAAGAGTTAAATCAGTGTGATTTGACTGTCAGACAAAGATTTTATTGCTTTAAGCTGCACTGCTGTGTTCTGTGAAGTTTTGTCTTATCTGTGAATTTGGTTTCTAAGCAGATTCCTATCATAAATCTTGTTGACAACTGGTTGCTTTTAGCTTTCTATATTGTGTTAAACACACTGCCATATTGTATACTTATGTTATACCTAAATATTCACTGATTATTGTCACGCATGTTACATATATCATTTTATTATTGTCACAATAAATTTTTATAATTGATTTGTGATTACTGTGTGAAGTAAAAATCTTCTGGTGAAACTTCCTCTAGGATCTAAGAGAATTACAATTGTGGGTAATTCTCAGCTTTAAATCAGTAATCGGGGAACAGTGCCAAGATAACATTTTTTGATATAATAAAAATTATTAAATACATTTTTGATAATTTTTATGAAAATATTTTTAATATTTATCACCCCATAAATATCCTCACAATACGCTCCTCCTTTGGGCTTCCCTAGACCCATTCTAGGTGGGACTGGCCATTTTAGGCATCTAGTTCATTTTACAAAATATCTCAAAAATAGAGTTTGCATAGACAAAGTGAGTCTAAACATACTTCAGGCCATCATTTCCTAATTCATTGTGTGAAACAATCTAAGTGTACCCAAAAATAATCCACTTCCTGAACAAACATTGCTGGAATGCCAATAAATGCGTCCAAATAGTCTAGACAAGATTTTAAATCTTCAAAATCCTGTAACAAAACAAAATTCTCTATAAAGATCAGCCTGTTTACAGGGGCTGGTTTAATAAACTATTTATATTGTTCTATAATGTAACACACTATTAGTAATCAAAGGATGTAAAATCAATGCCACATGAACACAGGTGACTGGTCCTGGACGTAAAATCCAGACCTGTCCTGCTATGCCATCCTTCTCTTTTCCTCTTGCCAGGGAGGGACCATGACGGTCTTCCAGGTACGTGTCAATCCCACTCCTCACTTGATTTTCTAGGCAGGAACTGATTCCTCTGCCATCTTCTTCTACCCAGGTAGGGAGCATACTGTGACAAACTTCCCTTTTCAATTGAGTTTGCCACGAGTTCCTGGAGGAGTCTGCTTGCAAGCCTCCTGCCCACGGACTATGGACCTTGTAAAATGTGACGTAAAAGTCTCTGTTCATGTATTTGGACTATATGGTTCGTGAACCAAATAGCCGCACGAACTGGAGATCACGCTGGAGCTTGTTAAGCCTAATTGATACTTTGTAACAATTTCCACCACAGTGTTCTAAATGTTCGTCTGGGTGGCCGCAATTCCTATGGACGACTATGAGGTGGCGGCCATCTTGTTCGCATGAACACAGGCAGCGTTGTTTGGTTGTCGAGTTCATGGAACTATTTTTGGACACTGGAACTCCCAAACACCTCTGGACTTCCATGATTGCCTGTGTTCGGTTTTATAACACTTAGGAAGACACTGTTTGGTGGAAACGTTCCCATGAACAAATGGATCAAGCTCCAGGGTAAGAACATTGACTATGTTTGATAGTTTGTTCGGTTTTTAAACTATCAAACTAGAATGACCGCAAGCCCTGATTCTCTGGAACTGTTTTGGATATGGGACCATGCATGCGGTCGGTCAAATTATGACATCAAGGAAATTCCTGAACCCCTGAATCGATCTGAGTGGTTTTTAGATATGTTGGTCACCCAGATCGGGGCTATCAGGGGATGTAACATTTGTGAGTTTTTATGTATTTTTAAGGTACTTTTGGGGTATTTGTGAAATGTGTGTTTTTTGTGCCTGGAGATAATTGAGTTTAATACAATGCTCGACTCAATAATCTCCCAGGCACAGGGGAGGGATTATCTTGTTTTGTATGGGAGTGTCCTAGACCTGAGAGCCAATGTAATTGTGTGTATGTTTTTACTGTAGTCTACTCTCAGGTCCAGGGGGGAGTGCCCCTTGCATGGGGACCTGCATTTAAGGCCAGTTGTGGCTGCCAATAAAGTATTCCAGTTTGTACTCCCAGAACTATGTTTCGTCTGGTTAATGGGAGGGGAAAGGGCTATTCTTTAATCACTGTTCCAGTGTGGAGGATTCAACGGGGAAAGTCCTTGTAAAGACTAGAGCTCCCAGGACTGAGTGTCGGCCACTGCCTGGGGGTGTCTAGAGCGAATTCCCCATTCGGCTCCAGGAGGGAGTAGTTCCAGGACCCGGGTCAAGCCACGGCGACTGTGAGCAGAAGTGCTGCGGTCCCCTGTTCCAGCTATGAAGCAGTCTTTGGCGGAAGTACCCAGCCAGGGGTATAGGGAGCTCCGTTACACATACCATCTGCCTGCTCTTGACAATGGCTTTATATAAAGATGCTTTGTGGATCTGAGGCATTGCTCTTTGCCTGCTGGTCCTACGACTCTGTAGCAAACCTCACCGACTGTGACTCGGTGTCTGTAAAGTGGCTCGCTTAGACAAGTGATCCAAAAGGAGCTTACTGATTTGTAATCTTGTACTAACCTTCAACTCATACAGATCTACATAGATCCTTAGACGGGGAGTATACTGTCCGTGCAAAATCATGCTCTTAGTTAGCTCTGGAAAACGTGAGTGTATTACAAACACCAGCTTGTTTATATTTGAAATTTTTATCTGTACTACATGGTTTTTATTCCTTTTTGAGGTTATTCAATATTCCGAAAGGTATATTTTTTCACTTTTTTTGCACTTTATAATATCTGGTGTGGTGTTTCCTTTGTTTTTTCTTCTGTGTTGACACTGTAGTCCTGGTATGGAAATTTAGGTCCCCGGTCCCGCTCTGATTGAGCTGAAAAGGTGTTTTTATTCTCCTTTTCCGTGCATGGCCCTGCATCCATGGCTCAAATAATCGACCTTGATGGTCTGAGCCAATCCAATGCTTCCCCTGAGAAATTATTGGGAGGCTTTTGCGCATAAAACATTGCACAGCACAAATCAGCATCTCCTCAAAGAGATGCTCTATGGGGAAGTTTCAGCGCCTCCATACAGAGCGTGTAGACCAGGGGTAGTCAAGCTGGTCCCTACCGACCACTAGGGGGCGGTTTGGGATTTCAGGTGGGCGGTTGTGGGTTCTGCAGAAAACGTCCAGTGGGCCTCGATGGCTGGGGACCAAGGCTGGCAGGGGAGATCCTTTCATCTCCCCTGCCGGCCCATGCAGAGCCAGCCTTGCTGTGAGCCTTCTTGGGCTGGTGATGAGATCAAATCACTAAGTTCCAGCAGAGTGAGGGAAGGACCTGGGAGGCTCTGTGTTCCTCCCGCTAGCAGACTGGATGAAGCATTGCCGCGCGTTACCATAGGAGAGGTTAGGAGAGTCAGTCTTCAACCAGAAGTGCTGCAGGCCAAAGTGAACATGCCACCACAGTATCACCATGGCTTGCAGCATTATGTCCACCCTCCTTGGTAAAAAGTAAGAAGGGAGGGGAAGATATTTAGATTTTCACATCTCACCCTCCTACACACAGCATAGATCCTCCCCACAAACACACACACACACAGAGACTGCCCCCTCACAAACACACACACAGAGACTGCCCACCTCACCCAAAAACGGGGTAGTCAACCTTTTAATACTTACCACCCACTTTTGTATCTTTGTTGATGATAACATTTCCTTACTGCCCACCAGGGCCGCAGTAACTAAGTAGTTACTGCGGCACTGGTGGGCAGTAAGGAAATTTTATCATCAAAGATACAAAAGTGGGTGGTAAGTATTAAAAGGTTGACTACCCCCGGTGTACTAGGTGCTGCACACAGTACAGCACTGAGATAGGAATCACCTCTAGTGGCTGTCTGGGTGACTGCACCTAGAAGTGTTACTAGTCAGCAATGTAAACACTGGCTTTCCACCATGTCTTTACTGAAAACATACCTTCCCCCCTACCTTAGCAAGATTTTGGAATTTTCATACAAAACAGGTGAACTAAAAATAGAGTTTGGGGGGGGGAGGGGGGTGTTTGAAGCTGGAAAAATAAAATTCTCCAATTGTACTACAGCCCCAGCGTGGCTATTTTAACCAAAAAGTTGCTATTCTGAATTTAAGGAAATAGAATCATATCACCAAAAACTTAAGTTCACTGGAAATCACGAATTTATTGCCTAACCCTGATAGGAATGCCAATGCCCCCCCCTGCCCCTGCCCCCAGCGTTCCACTGACGTCACCCAGCTATCTTGGCCCCTTCCTCCTTGACTCCTCCCCCCCCTTTCTCCTTTCTGGTCTTTGTCTCGCCTCCCAAGGTTGGCCGTCGGCGTCTGACGTCATTACTTTCCCAGCAGTGCTCAGGTTCTTGCTGCTAACGGTAACTGCTCTCGGTTCGATTTGCTCCTGGTCTTCCTCCGCTCACAGGTAAGAGAGCCCCGTGAGCCGCCTCACTCACTCGCGTTCTATCCTTCCGCTCACAGGTAAATGAGCTCGCATTGTCCGTGCGACACAAGTTTTTATTTTTTTTTAATTTTATTTTTTTTACTTTAGGGACTGTGTTAAAACGTGCGTTTTTTAAGCGAATCCCCACCGTATGATTAGCAACATACATGACGGGGGGAAAGGGCCTATTCCTGTAAACTGCAATGAGTGAATGTGCAGCTCCCCCCCCCTCACAGTGAGAGCTGTGTCTGCTCCTCCATGAGGGGGTTGTTGTTTTCTTCCTGTCTCTGTGTCTCTGCTTCCTGGTCTGAGGCTGCTATAGGCAGTCCTGGGTCTACCAGGTTTGAGGGGTGTCAGTGTGGGAGCAGGGCAGGTTTGAGGGGTGTCAGTGTGTGAGCAGGGCAGGTTTGAGGGGTGTCAGTGTGTGAGCAGGGCAGGTTTGAGGGGTGTCAGTGTGTGAGCAGGGCAGGTTTGAGGGGTGTCAGTGTGTGAGCAGGGCAGGTTTGAGGGGTGTCAGTGTGGCAGCAGGGCAGGTTTGAGGGGTGTCAGTGTGTGAGCAGGACAGGTTTGAGGGGTGTCAGTGTGTGAGCAGGACAGGTTTGAGGGGTGTCAGTGTGGGAGCAGGGCAGGTTTGAGGGGTGTCAGTGTGGCAGGCAGGTTTGAGGGGTGTCAGTGTGGGAGCAGGCAGGTTTGAGGGGTGTCAGTGTGTGAGCAGGGCAGGTTTGAGGGGTGTCAGTGTGTGAGCAGGGCAGGTTTGAGGGGTGTCAGTGTGGGAGCAGGGCAGGTTTGAGCGGTGTCAGTGTGGGAGCAGGGCAGGTTTGAGCGGTGTCAGTGTGGGAGCAGGGCAGGTTTGAGCGGTGTCAGTGTGGGAGCAGGGCAGGTTTGAGGGGTGTCAGTGTGGGAGCAGGGCAGGTTTGAGGGGTGTCAGTGTGGGAGCAGGGCAGGTTTGAGGGGTGTCAGTGTGGGAGCAGGGCAGGTTTGAGCGGTGTCAGTGTGGGAGCAGGGCAGGTTTGAGGGGTGTCAGTGTGTGAGCAGGGCAGGTTTGAGGGGTGTCAGTGTGAGCAGGGCAGGTTTGAGGGGTGTCAGTGTGTGAGCAGGGCAGGTTTGAGGGGTGTCAGTGTGTGAGCAGGACAGGTTTGAGGGGTGTCAGTGTGGGAGCACAGGTGCAGCAAATCCCATTTTGCACAAACTTTGCACTGCTTCTAGTTTTATTATTTATAAAGCGCCAACAAACTCCGCAGCGCTTTACAATACGTGGACTAACAGACGAGCTGGTCGCACAGGTATAGAGGGGGTTAAGGGCCCTGCTCACGTCCCTCTTCCACTTAAATGTTAAAGGAGCTCTACATCATTGCAGGGATATAAAAACAAAAACAAAAAAACATATCTTTACTTACTTTTTTTCCCCACGCAGCCTTGATTTCTGTGTTGGGCCCCACTTTCTTGGCTGAGATCATAGAGTTCCCCAATTTAAGGAAGTGGGGTAACCACGCTGTTGTCTGCGCAGTTACACCGCTTCATTGAATTGTGGGTCACAATAATCTCAGGCAAAGAAGTGGGGCCAGACATGGGAAGCAGCACTGTGAGGGAGTAGAGGTAAGTAAAACTCATCTTTTAAAGAGAACCTGTCATTTCCATAGTTACTTTAGCTCTTTTAAAAGAACTTAAAATGCTATCTATACTTTGTGATAACAAATGTATAGATTGGCAGAAAATCCTATTTAAAAATAGGTGGTTCTGCCATCTGTATATCAGTGAGGAATTGAGAGACCTGGAGAGCAGAAGAGACCTACCACAGGAGGTCCCTTTGCTCTCCACCCATGGCAACCACATCTCATGCGTTGTAGTTACTATGGGTGGCTAGGAAGTATAGGAATGGAGTGACATCGGGCTGTTCAAATGTCTACATGCTGGCAACAAAGCCAGTGTGTCCGCATCATCGAGGTGGAGGTTTGCCCTGCTTAGGGAAGTGTTCCCAAGCAGGGCAAATCAACAAAGTCCTGTGGAGCACTGGCAGACCGGTAAGGAGATAGCTGCAGGTAAGTGGTTACAGTTTCCCTTTACAGTCTTTGAAGAGAGGGGCACATATAGGTAGGGGAACACTTTAGCGATAGGAGTACATGTTTGTATTTCTAACTCTTTAGTGTTCCTTTTAAAGGAATGCAAACTTGTATTGTTAATGTTTTAGCTTCCCTGTCTTTATTTAGGACACAACAAGGCTTCTTTAAATTTTAAATGTCAAGATGCACATAACTTTAGTGTAAATGGAAGTCAATACGATTGCATATCAACATTATGCTAGCAAAGTTATCTGTTTACTTCAATATATAAATGTTTTCAATCACCTCCCTACCTGAGTGGGATGGACCTCGTACAGGTGCTCTCTTGCTCTCCATCACAATAACTACAATGCATGTAGTTGCTGTGATTGATTCTTTAGCAAGTACAGCCTCAGAACTTTGAGTGTGAGAATGTTTACTTGTTTCAAACTTAGATAATTGCATTATCGAAAATGTAAACATTTACATATAACTGATCTAACCATACCCCTACCCTGTCATCTCATATTTCCAAGAGGAAGTGGTGCGAGTCCTTAACATGAAGCAGAACTATGGTATTGTACTTAAAAGTATTTGCAGAAACTGTTGTAACTCTGGCACTAAGTCAGTCACTCCCACCCGGGTTAGATGAAACGGATAATATTGGGGTATAATCTCTGGGATTCCATGTAACCTGATGTGTTGAACCACTGTTTGACATTAAACTGGTAGCAGTGTTTAGAGACCACAGAAACGTAAACGTAAAAAATTGTGTTTTCATAAACGTCCGTTTCTGGTTAGTGTTGAAGCGGCACCATCACCTCCATATTAAAAAAAATTAGTATTTAACCCCTTAAGGACCAATCTTTTGAAATAAAAGGGAATCATGACATGTCACACATGTCGTGTCCTTAAGGGGTTAATAAAGATAGTGTCTTAATGAAATTCTCATTATAACAATGTTGGAATTTCACTGAAGTTCCAACTGAGTCAAAAGAACTACAGACACATTGAGGCCTGTGGATCTGCCATAGGCCTCAATGCTGTACTCTTGTGCATGAGAGCGAGTACAGCAATGACATCAGCTCCTGGCTCTGAAGCATCAGGAGCTGAAGAGGAACAGCACAATTAAGATGGCGGCACCAACAAAGGTCAGGTTCAGGTATGTAATCTCACCCTTACCTGGCCACAGGATCACCAGCGGCGATGTCACAGTCAGCGGACTTTGCTACTTTTGCTGGACACCTAAACACTTATGCCAGAACTATAGTGTTAAGAATACATGTTTGTATTCCTAACACTATAGTGTGCCTTCAAATATGTAGTTCTACAGCAGGACAGATTAAATTAATACGTTTTATTGTTTTATTTTCTTCTCATCTACATGTTATTAGTAGGGGGGAAAAAGAGGTGGGGGGGGTTGTGTTGGGTTACAAGTACATACTTAAAATTGTTTCCATTTATATTCCCTAGAGAGCTTTGTTGTGAAGAAATGTTCTGCCTATTTATGATGAAATTGATTTTAAACTACTCCTTAATCTGTATCATATGACTTGTCATCTGAGTGGTCAGGAGGATGGCTTAACCTTGTGCTCTAATGCCTTGTGTAATATTCTCTTTTGAAGAAAAAAAACCCAAAAACTAGTGTTTCACATTCGTTAAACATTCATTTAAAAATTACCAAATTAGTTTAAATGTATCAAAGAGCAGACAGAGTGCTGCAAGAGTACAAACAAATATATGTCCAGTGTATACCATGGATCATTTAGAAAAACAGAATGTGACGGCAGATAAGAACCATTCGGCCCATCTAGTCTGCCCAATTTTCGAAATACTTTTAATTGGTCCCTGGCCTTCTCTTTAGTCTAGGATAGCCTTATGCCTATCCCACGCATGTTTAAACTCCCTCACTGTGTTAACCTCTACTACTTCAGCTGGAAGGCTATTCCATGCATCCACTATCCACTCTCTGTAAAGTAATCCCTCATGAAATTATTTTTAAACATTTTGCCCCTCTAATTTACGACTATGTACTCTTTAAATATAGTGTCATCCTTTGCTGTGTTGATTCCCTTTATGTATTTAAAGGATCACTATAGGGTCAGGTACACAAACATGTATTCCTGACCCTATAGTGTTAACACCACCATATAGCCCCCCTGGGCCCCTTGTGCCTCCATAAATATTGCAAAATCTTACTGTATTCAAGCCTGAAGCTGTAACTCTGCATGCTGTTTGACTTGAAAAAGCAAGCCGTCTGCTGACATCAGAAGTGGTAGCCTGATCCAATCACAGTGCATCCCCATAGGATTGGCTGAGACTGACAAATAGGCACATCAGGGGCAGAGCCAGCATGATTCAAACACAGCTCTGGCCAATCAGCATCTCCTCATAGAGATGATTTGAATCAATGAATCTCTATGAGGAAAGTTCAGTGTCTGCCTGCAGAGGGAGAAGACACTGAATGTTTGGATGCATTTTAGGCAGCCATGACCCAGAAAGGATCTCTAACAGCCATCTGAGGAGTGGCCAGTGAAGTTATCACTAAGCTGTAAAGTAAACACTGCATTTTCTCTGAAAAGACCGTGTTTACAGCAAAAACTCTGAGGGTAATGATTATACTCACCAGAACAAATCCAATAAGCTGTAGTTGTTCTGATGACTATAGTGTCCCTTTAAATGTTTCTATCATATCCCCCCTTTCTCGTCTTTCCTCCAAGCTATACATGTTAAGATCATTTATCCTTTCCTGGTAAGTTTTATCCTGCAATCCATGAACCAGTTTAGTAGCCCTTCTCTGAACTCTAAAGTATCAATATCCTTCTGGAGATACGGTCTCCAGTATTGCGTACAATACTCCAAGTGAGGTCTCACCAGTGTTCTGTACAATGGCATGAGCACTTCTCTCTTTCTACTGCTAAGGCCACTCCCTATACAACCATTTCTGGCTGCTCTGTTACATTTTCTTCCTACCTTTGTCATCTGAAATAATTATTCCTAAATCCCTTTCATAATGTTGAGATTAGTAGGTTATCAAATATTCTATACTCTGCCCTTGGGTTTTTACGCTCAAGATGCATTATCTTGCATTTATCCACATTAAATATCAGTTGCCACAACTCTGACGATTTTTCTAATTTATCTAAATAATTTGCCATTTGGTTTATCCCTCCTGGAACATCAACCCTTTTGCAAATGTTAGCATCCTCAGCAAATAGGCATACCTTACCATCAAGACCTTCTGCAATATCACAAATAAAAATATTGAAGAGAATGGGTCCAAGTACAGATCCCTAAAGTATCCCACTGGTAACTAGACTTTACTTCGAATATACTCTGTTGACTACAGGGTTAATCCAACCTCTAGTGGCTGTCTTCCTGACAGCCGCTAGAGGCGCTTCTCCGACGCTGGATTGATAATTTGCATCCAGCGTGCAGAGCATCCATAGGAAAGCATTGAGAAATGCTTTCATATGGACTGTTTAAATGCACTTGCCACGCATGCGCATTCTGCTTCACTCGGGAGCTGACGTCGGCGGGGGATGAGAGATCACCAGCACCGAGGGAGCCCTGCGCTGGATTAAAGTAAGTAACTGAAGGGGATTTAACCACTTCAGCGTCACAGGAGGGGGACACGGAGGGTGAGGGTCCTCCAAAGATGAGTGTCAGGAAAACGGGTTTGTTCTTTAATAACTTTGGGTGTATCGCATCAGGCTCGATCGACATATTTTCCTTACTTTTGACAGTTGAAATAGAACCTCTTCCTCTGTAAACTCACATGTAACAAATGACCCATTTGTCCTTTTTCTTAACTGAAGTCCCTCTCCATTTTCATCTGTAAATACTGAATAAAAATATTAAAGGACCACTATAGGCACCCAGACCACTTCAGCTTAATGAAGTGGTCTGGGTGCCAGGTCCAGCTAGGATTAACCCTTTCTTCTATAAACATAGCAGTTTCAGAGAAACTGCTATGTTTATATTAGGGTTAATCCAGCCTCTAGTGGCTGTCTTAATGACAGCTGCTAGAGGCGCTTCCACCAGTGAGAAGACTCAATGACAGCCACTGGAGGCACTTCCACCAGTGAGAAGACGCCAGCGTCCATAGGAAAGCATTGAGAATGCTTTCCTATGGACTGGCTGAATGCACGTGCGGCTCCTGCCGCGAATGCGCATTCAGCCGACAACGAGAAGGAGGAGGAGAGTCCCCCGCCCGGTAAATTTAACCCCTTCCACTCCCCAGAGCCCGGTGGGAGGGGGCCCTGAGGGTGGGGGGACCTAGAGACCCTATAGTGCCAGGAAAACAAGTGTGTTTTTCTGGCACTGTAGTGATCCTTTAATTGAGGCAGTCAGCTAGACCTTTATCCTCTCCTACATACCTTCCTCCTTTTGTTTTTAATCTAACTAATCCTTGTTTTACTTTCCTTTTCTCATTTATTTATCTACACAATGTTATTTCCCCCTTTTCTATTGACTGTGCTATTCCGTCTTCTGTGTGTGCTTTGGAGGGTCTTATAACTTGCTTAGCCTCTTTCTGCCTAATCTTATAGATTTGTCTTTCTTCCTCAATCTTTTATAATTACGAAATGCTAACTTTTTTTTTTTTTTTTTAACTATTTTGGCTACTTCTGTGGAGTACCACAGTGGTTTCTTAATTTTTCTGCTCTTCCTGACAAGCCTAATGGAATCTTCTGTTGCTTTCAGTAGTGCAACGTTTAGATAATCCCATTTCTCCTGGACTCCTTTTAAACTGCTCCAGTCTGACAAGGACTCCTTTACGCATATTCTAATTTAGAAAAATGTTTGTTTTTCTAAAATATAAAACTTTTTTATTTTTGTGTGGTGTGACTCAGTCACTGTCGTTATATTAAACCACACTGGCTGGTCATCACTAGATCCTAAACTTTCACCTACAGTAATATCTGATACTAAATCTCCTTTTGTTAACACGAAATCTAGTATGGCCTCCTTACGAGTTGGTTCCCCAATGACTTGTTTTAGAGATAATCCCAGTAGAGTTTAGAATATGTGTGCTCCTGGCACAAGCAGCTGTTTTGGTTTTCCAGTTCACATCTGAAGGATTAAAGTCACCCATGATAATAACTTTGCCCTTCATTGTCATTTTTTGCTATTTCCTTAACTAGTAGATTATCTAACTCTTCTATTTGTCCAGGGAGTCTGTAAATCACACCCACACGAGTTAATGTGTGATTTCCAAATTCTAATGTAACCCAAACGGACTCTGTTCGCATCGCTAGATTTTTTTGCTATCCTTCACATACAGGGACACCCCTCCCCCTTTTTTGCCTTCTCTGTCTTTTCTATATAAGGAGTACTCTGTTATTGCTTTATCCCAGTCATCTTTCTCATTATACCATGTCTCAATAACAGCCACTAAATCTACATTCATTTTCTTACCAAATATGTCTTCTTTATATTTAGGAACATTGCAACAATGTCTTTGTACCCATCACTTGAAGACCTCAAAGTCGACAAAGTTATCCAGGTATGCTTTCTTCAATTGTCTGTACCAGGGTGAATTTTGATTTAAATTGCTATTTAGTAAGATTCTATTTAAATTGTGATATTTAAACAAAAACTCATTTGTGCTGGTTGTTATATCTTTGATTATGGCAGCCAGATGAAGACATCATATTTAGAATAATACCTTTTCAGTTTTGTTTGTTATCAGAACCGATTTTTATTACATACCACTAGAAATACATAAATGATGAACTTATTGCAAGGTGATACTTCTCTAGTTTATTAGGCCAATTACTCATGTTTGTTGAACACGAAGGGACACTATAGGCACCAAAACAACTTTAACTTAAAGGAGTGATTTTGGTGTATAGATCTTGCCACTGCAGCCTCATTGCTCAATTCTCTAGATGTTTTAGGTAGCCCTAGTCACACCTCCTTGCATGTGACTTGCACAGTCTTCCTAAACATTTTCTGTAAAGATAGATCTAATGTTTAAATTTCCTTTTTGTACCTTCTGTTTAATTTATTTTTATCCTGCTCTGTTAACAGCCTATTGCACCCAACAAACATTCAATTTACAGAGGAGGAGGTAAAAACATTTAAAGCAGGTTAAAGGAACACTGTAGGCACCCAGACCAATTCAGCTAATTGAAGTGGTCTGGATGCAATGTCCCTTTTGTACTTAGTGCTGCAATGTTAAACGTTGCAGTGTTTACATTGCAGCACTAAGTCTGCCCTCGGTGGCTGCCTACCAGACAGCGAGGTAGATGGCTTCCGGAATCCAAACTGACTTTTGGTCTGTTATCTGACGCTGGACATCCACTGCTCTGCCTGAGGACCTCCAGCGTCATATTTTTCCCAATTGGAAAGTATTGATTCAATGCTTTCCTATGGGGAGGTCTAATGTGCGCGGCATTAGACGTCGTGGGACGGAGGAGCGGAGCTTCGACCCAGCGCTGAGGGACATCGGCACTGGGATCAGATAAGTAAATTAATGTTTTTTAACCCTTTATTTGCATGGGGTGGAGGGGTGTGGGGAAAGGGGGGAGGGGGGTTCAGTAGTGACAGTATCTCTTTAACATCTGATTGAAAGTGAAACCATTTTTAATGCAGACTGTGTGAAAGGAGGTATGGCTATGGCTGTATAAACAGAAACAAGTGATTTAACTCCTAAATGTCAGAGAGGTGAGCATTGAGACTGTTGGAGCATGATCTATACACCCAAACTACTTTATTAAACTAAAGTTGTTGTGATCCCTATAGTGTCCATTTAAGTTAAAGATGTTCATTGTATGTACATGGATTTGAGAAATAACAGTGGGATTAAAGGAACGCTGCATTTCAGCTTGCTGAAGTGATTTATGTGTCTGGAGTCTGTCATTATTTTTTTTGACCTCTTATAAAAGAGATTTCTATCAGGCAGCCAGGTAGGTTTTCTTCTGCATCTGTTAGTTCCACAGAACTAACGGAAGTAGCAGGCGCAATGTGCTGCTACAGACTTTCCATCCTTCTCAATGAGCTGTAACCCCCTCCCTCGTGTGGTACAGCACAAAGGCTTCTCTGTGCTGGGGAGGGGAGCTTGCCAAGGCAGCAGGTATGCCGCTTTTGCAAGTTGCCTAACTTGAAATGTTACACATACAAAGATATTGATGTTTGTGTGCTAGGGATTAGTTACACACCTGTCATGAGTAACTTAGCGTGTCGGGAACTTTGAACTGGGCTTCCTAGTGTCAGATCTGTGCGCGTTTTTACTTTTGTCCTCAGCACTCATAGCGCGCTAGTGACCGGTATAGTCGCCTTCTGCCTGCCCCCCATCACTTTATACAGCTCTCCCTTCATTTCTTTTTGCCCTTCCACTCGCGCTCTCCTTCCCCTTGCTGGCTGTGATCCAGCGAAACAGTCCAAACACAGATTTCTCTCTGAAAAATCTGTGATTGGACCGTGCTATGCCTCCCGCTGACATATGATGGGGTAGGGAGATCAAGGCCAGGACCTTCGTCCAGCACTGATTTCCAGGTAAGTTTTCTTTTCTTCAAATTGCTGTTGGATGCGGACATGGGTAGTTAGACAGGGTCAGTAATGTGAAAGTAGGTAAAGCAACTTTTTAAATGGAGAAATCTAACCAGGACAGTTTTGAGATACAGTTTGACAATATTTAATATTTGCCAGCATCTTGCGGATCATTTTATCTCCTGAGCATTTGTCATTGATCAGCAATTTGAGGTTTATGTATTGATCATTTTTCTCAATTCAACAATTTTAAAAAGCTGGTAGATTTAACAAAACATTAATCTCAAAATAATCTTGATGTAATGAATACAGATAATGCAGTTCATGCTAGGTTAATGGATTGAACCTTTATGATTCCAGTTGCTAGGTATGCAGAAGAAAAATTTTGCAGCCTCATTGCTATCAGTTCCATCAATATTTTATCATGTTTGTTCAACAGGAATTTGATTTCACTTAGGTAATTATGTTCTTTTGTTAGACATGTACACTGATCAGCTACAACATTAAAACCACATGCCTACTGTAATGTAGGTCCCCCTCATGCTTCCAAAACAGCTCTTGTGCTTCGAGACATGGACTCCACATTACTTCTAAACGGGTTCTGTGGTATCTGGCACCAAGACATTGGCAACAGATTCTTTTAAGTACTGCAAGTTGCGAGGTGGGGCCATGGATTGCATTTATTGTTCAAGCACATCCCACAGATGCTCAATTGGATTGAGATCTGGGGAATATGGAGGCCAAGGCAACACCTTGAACTCTTTGTCATGTTCCTCAAACCATTCCTGAATATTTTTTGCAGGGTGCATAATCCTGCTCAAAGAGGCCACTGCCATCAAGGAACACCATTGTCATGAAGGGTTTACATGGTCTGCAACAGTCTCTAGGTAGGTGGTACGTGTAAAAGTAACATCCACATGAATGTCGCAACCCAAGGATTACCAGCAAAAAAAAAACTGCCCAGAGCATCGTATTGCCTCTGCTGGCCTGCTTTCGTCCCATAGTGCATCCAGCTGCCATTTCTTCCCCAGCACACACAAACCTGGCTAAATGAAAACCAGATTCATCAGTCTATTCAATCCTCTTCCATTGCTCTTTGGCCCAGATTTGACTCTCCTTCTCCCATTGAAGGCGCTTTCGGCGGTGGACAAGGTGTGGGAGGGGGGTCATCATGGGCACTCGTACCGGTCTGTAGTACACAGCCCCAGATGCAGCAAACTGAATTCCACTGTGTGCTCTGATTCCTTTATATCATGGCCAGCGTTAAGTTTTTTATCAATTTGAGCTACAGTAGCTCTTCCGTGTGATCAAACCAGAGGGGCTAGCCTTCGATTCCCATCTTCATCAATTGGGGTGACCCTGACGCTGGTTCACTGGTTGTTCTTCCTTGTACCACCTAGCCATTGCATGCCGGGAACACACCACAAGATTTGCAGTTTTGGAGATGCTCTGACCCAGTCATCTCGCCATCACTACTTTAACCCATGTTAAAGTCACTCAGGTTTTTCTGTTTGTCAATTTTTCCTGCTTCGAACACATGAAATGGACTGTTCACTTGCTGCCTAATATATCCCACCCCTACAGGTTCCATTGTAACAATATAATCAATATTCTTCACTTTACCTGTTAGTGGTTTTAAAATTGTGGTTGATCAGTATATACAATTCTATCAACACCTAGTGAAAGAATATAATCATAAGAGTGAAAGGTTCTGTCACAGTTTGCAGCTTTCATAATTCTTCCAATCTGGACAGTAGGTAAGTAGTAAAAAATTAGCTTTCTAACTTCTCATCAGTTTAGTCCATTATATATGTCTCCTGCAGTTTATCTGGCAAGCTCGGTCAACTCAAAGTGAACCCTTCAAGTGATCACTTGGAAGAGGGCAAAGCGGATTTGAAATCTGAGTAAAGTGCTTAATGAATCATTTATTTTAAAATCTGCGCTTTACTAAATTGTAGGGAAGGCTACTTAATACCCGTCCTTGCTGGACAGTCATTTGTGGGATATGATCTGATGACGACAAGCCTCTGTGTGGTGAGGGAGGGTTCCGTCTAAAGCTACAGCTCTGCATCTTTTTTCTAATGCAATACCTAATATAATACACATCTATTTTTTTTTTTTAAATAAAAGATATTTTAATTTCTTTAATTTGTTTGAATAAAAGTACATTTACATTTGTTACTAAGAAAAACAAGGTATGCCTCCTAAATTTAATTTTTTTTTCACTACTTGTTTACTATTGTTTAACTGCATTGCATGCCTTCTTGGGTTTTCCTTTTCAGAATGTAATTTGTGTTGAGTAATCTTAAAGGATTACTACAACCACTTCAGTGATTTGTAGTGGCTATGGTGGAAGGAGTCAATATGTGCACTGTTTTAGCTTGACAAACTGCAATAAAGATCTTGGCACTTGTGTTACAAGGGCTAGTTGCACCCCTGGCACATGTGACTTTGGAAGCCCAGAAGTCTGGGCTGCCTAATGTTTATTCTGTTAATGCGCTTGAACAGGCGAAATGGTCCAATCACAGGCTTCTCTATTCCCTGTGATGTCAGGAGGAGGTGATTGCCAGCAGTTTCATCTGGCGCTGGATTTTGTTTGTAAGTTTTACAGTGTAGTTATTTATTTAAAGTATTTTACCATGGGGGACCCAGTAGTAATGCCCAAACACGTAAATAGTTAGCAGAAGACTATAGCATAAGGAATACATGTTTGTATTGCCATAGTGTTCATTTTAAGAAGATTTTTGTCTTGTACTGTAGCACAACATTTGTTTTTTGCTGACCTAATGTTTATGCATTTTATTTCAGGCGCAGACAGCTTTTTCATCAAACCATGCTAATCCAGCTATTTTGTCAGAAGCCTCTGCATCTGCACCTCAACCAGGAGGTATTTTGTTTCATTGTTTTATCAGGAAAAGATATGTTTGACATGCCGTCACAGAAGTAATGGCCATGCCATTTAATTTTTTTTTAAACTGCACATTGCACTAGTTTAAGGTCTAGATTAAAGGATTTTTCATATAAAAATGTCCTGGCCATCCTTTTAAAATAATGTTCACTGTCATGTACAGTATTACCGCCACTAAAAGTGGCCTTAATCCTGCAATTTAAGCATTGCCATTTTCAGAGTTTGGTGACTTTAGTGATTCTTTAAGCAAACCTGTTTACAAAAATTAGCTGGCTTCCTTGGTGACTACTTCACCTTGGATCTTTGTTCAGAATTGCTTCTTACAAATACTGCCACATATGCCCCTTCATTTTCTGGACTTGTCTGCCTTTCATTGGCTTACGTGACAGTAAAAAGAAAAGGTAATAGGCGATAACTACAGTAAAATATAGGGTGCAATTGGGCTGCAGTAACTAGTGCGAGGATTCCCAGACCTTGTGGATAGTAGAGTATCAAGAAGAAAAGGAAAGTAACCGCGCCCAAAGATTATGTACAAAACTTAAATACGTACACAGGTCTTTTGAAGTTATACAAGTATTGGACCTCAAGTAAAACAGAAGAAAGTAATAGTGCAATACAGTAAGTACATGATGTGTGATTACACTCACATATAATTGAGCTATCTCAGAGCTCAGCGCATGGACAGAACAATTCCCGTCTAAGGATATAAGTTGGTATAGGCGTCCCAGATGGCTCAAATGGAGTGCAGTATATAGAACATCTGTAGGAATAGATACAAAAAGAATACTCCAATGGTGAAATAAATAAAGTAACATACTCACATTTCCCAGAGCAAGACTTGATGGAACCATCATATTCCTAGGTGGGGATTATTCCACCAATGCTATATATACCAGAGCAAGTCTTGCTCTGGGAAATGTGAGTACGTTACTTTATTTATTTTACTCCACATTTACAAATATTTATTTCACCATTGGAGTATTCTTTTTGTATCTATTCCTACATATGTTTTATATATAATATATATTTGCACTCCATTTGAGCCATCTGGGATGCCTATTCCAACTTTTTATCCACAGACGGGGATTGTTCCTTCCATGCGCTGAAACAGCTGAGCTCGGAGATAGTTCAATTAAATGTGAGTTTAATCACACGTGTACTTGCTGTACATACTGTATTGCAATATTATTCTGTTTTATTTGAGGTCCAATACTTGTATAATTTTTTTAAAAGACCTGTGTACGTATTAAGTTTTGTACATAATCTTTGGGCGCGATTACTTTCCTTTTCTTCATGTTGCGTGACACTTACTTTGCACACACGTCTTTTGCCACACATTTTAGTATAACGTTTATTCATTTTGTTTTTGTCATGTTTTCCTAGTTACAAATCTGTTCCAGTAATTAGTCTTGTCTGATCATTTATAGCAAGTTATTGTCTGCAAATACAACATTTTAATAATCTGCCACTGTTTTGTCCTGCTTGAGCACCTTTTTTATTTTTTTTTATTTTTAAAATGTAATTCTTAATCTGCTAGAGAAACTAAATGTCATTCTAAAAATATTTATCAAATGTATTTCTTATTTTTATTTTAATGTATTTCTTGTCCAAGTAGCTTTTTGGTGGTGGTAAAATGAGCATTATTTTTCCCTTGAACAGGATTGTATCCTAAATTGTATCCAGAGCTTGCTCAGTACATGGGATTAAATCTGACTGAAGATGAAATACACAAAAATATGTCACTGGTTCCTTCTGCTGGGGTATGTCTTTTTTCTTTCTCTCACTGTGTACTATAAGTAAGGTAAAATAAAACTTTCATTTGAAAGTGAAAAATTTAATCTGTCTTGTTATGAATGTGATTTGTTGGTCTGCTTTCTTAAATATTGTTTGGGCAAAAAGTAATACAGCATAAATGCAGATCACTATTTGATGCTTTGTCAGAATGATGATAAAATTGTGGCGTTTTCAAAATTAATGTGCTTTCTTCCTCCTTGTTTATATGTTCTATTTCGGTTGTTTTTATATCATGTCAGCTCTAATTTCTTTGTAACAGGACATCATGCCCTAGACAGGGTGTGAGTAATATAGCATGGGTTCAGTTCGAAATGAGTACTGATGTGTGTCTGTGGGATAGGAGTTGTGTGTGCATCTGGATTTTTAAAAAAAGTTTGTTTTCATTATATTTTTTTATAATGATCACCTGGCAAATTAAGGACTTTGTGTTTATTATCACACTAGAACATTCTTCAATATTGTTGACAATCAGGTTTTTTTTTTTTTGTTTTGTTTTGTTTTTTTTAAATCTACGTATTTATTTTTTCCTCTTTTTAGCAACAAGTTGCAAGACCCTCAACCTTTAATAACATGGTGGCTCCTGTGAGTGGAAGTGATGTTGGAATTCGCAGAGCAGAAATAAGACAGGGAGTTCGTGAACTAATATTGTGCAAAGACCAGGATGGGAAGATTGGGCTTCGCCTTAAGTCCGTCGATAATGTAAGCAATCAAAAATAATAGATTGGGCAATACGTTTTTAATCACACACAAATCCTGACTGCTGGATGTGCACTGCACTCTTTACAGGTTAGAGATTAGTCATGCAGGACACTTACCATCATAATGTCTAGATCTTCTATTGCAATACCCAGAAATATTTACCAACACAGACACAAGGCTACAGGCTACATTTACTGTGATATAATTCATGATGTAGGAAAGGTCTATTTCATAGCAGCCACTAAAATACCTTGTGGTTAAGATATACAACTGCCCGAAATGTTTGTAATGAGGTAATGAAGACTTGGGTTCAATCAGAGTGTAGCTTTTTATATGTACTTCTATCTTCTTCTTTCATTGTGTTTGACAACTGCATGTATACATAACACCAGGATACCTAGCGATTTTTCTCCATAATGACATTCTAAAAGTTCTGCACTATAAGGATAATTTTTAGTACATTTTAAAATGTAGTCTATTTGCATAGTGTAAGACAAGTAATCAACATATTTTATGTCTGTGTCCTCATTAAGGCGTCTCTGCAATACAAGTTTTCTTGCATGTTTAAAGTGTCATATTGAGACTTCTGCCCATGTGTAATGTTCTGTAAAAATGTTTTATGCAGAAAACTAAAGGGGAATTGTAACCTTTTTTTTTTCAGAAGTTGCACCATTAAAGGGACACTATAGTCACCTAGACCACTTCAGCTCAATGAAGTGGTCTGGGTGCCAGGTCCCTCAGGTTTTAACCCTTCACATGTAAACATAGCAGCTTCAGAGAAACAGCGCTGGATTAAGGTAAACTGCTGAAGGGTTTTAACCCCTTCAGCCCAGCGGGAGGGGAACCCTGAGGGTTAGGGTCCCGCCAGGGATGACCTAGTGTTTTCCTGACACTATAGTGACCTATAAATTGTGTTAACATTTTGTTTAAACTAACACTAAAGTGTTAGGAACACAAACACATCTTATACTAATAATTTAGATTATTCCTTCCCTCCCCCCTGGGTGACAGCCACTAGAGTTGGACTTGGGTACCAATTTAAACACTGTCGTTTCTCGGTAAGGGAACGTTCAAACTGCTCAGCTTGCAGGCATAGGCTCTAGACACCAGAACCACTGTAATAATTTGCTTCTGGCATTTATATAAGGCTTGCTTCCATCATATATTTTATGGTTGGCAAATGTTTGAGACCTATTTAGAATTCACTCCTTTTTTTAAAGATGTTAATTATGTGGCACTTGTGTACAGCATTCAAATGTTCAAGATTTAAAGTTATGTAAAGTCAAGGACGTGTCAGTCAAGATTAACGTTAACCCCTGATTGCCTTACTCACTTATTTTTTTATAATTTTTTAGTATGTGTTTCTTTTGTGTGTGTGTGTCAGAATACAAATCTATAAATAAAAAACATTTCAGGTTTTTAAATACCTTAACTTTAATGCTTGATATATTAAAAACTGTCATACCAGTTTTTTTTTTTAATTTTTATTATTTTTTAATCCATTTAGGGTATTTTTGTACAACTTGTACAAGCCAACTCTCCATCATCCTTGGTTGGCCTGAAATTTGGCGATCAGGTTTTGCAAATAAATGGTGAAAACTGTGCTGGTTGGAGTTCTGACAAATCCCATAAATTTCTGAAGCAGGCTGCTGGAGAAAAAATTTCTATGGTGGTTCGAGACAGGTATTATTTTGTATGTATATTCTTCATTTAGCAATAACTGATGAAAACAAGGATTTCCTAGGTACGAAAGAGGAGTGTGTTTGTTTCACAGTACACTGCTAAACATTGATTAAACACTCAACTATTACAAACCCTTCAAATAAATGATCTGTGAGTTGGTGAAATTTTACTGAATATATGATTGAATAATAGAAACCAGGTGCAGGAAACAGCTTGGTTTCCTGTTTCTACATTTAATTGGGCTTAGCATGTTGAAGGAAACCTTTCCCAGCTTTGTTTTACTACTTGTAAACACGTATAATACATGCCACACTTCTTTTAAACCAGTAGTCTCAAAGCACCGGCCTTCCTAAATAGTTTAAAGGACCACTATAGTGCCAGGAAAACATACTCATTTTCCTGGCACTATAGTGCCCTGAGGGTGCCCCCACCCTCAGGGACCCCCTCCCGCCCGGCTCTGGGGAGTGGAAGGGCTCTCCTCCCTCTTCTCCTCCTCTTCGGCTGCGCGCGCATTCAGCCAGTCCATAGGAAAGCATTCTCAATGCTTTCCTATGGACGTTGGCGTCTTCTCACTGTGATTTGCACAGTGAGAAGCACGCAAGCGCCTCTAGCGGCTGTCAAGAGACAGCCACTGGAGGCTGCATTAACCCATTTAGAAACATAGCAGTTTTCTCTGAAACTGCTATGTTTATAAAAAAGTTAACCCTAGCTGGACCTGGCACCCAGACCACTTCACTAAGCTGAAGTGGTCTGGGTGCCTATAGTGGTCCTTTAATGCAGGTCATGTCAACCTAGCCCATAATAGAGAAGTATGTCTAAGCCCTGGACATACTTCATTATGTCTGGTTTGTTGGTGGCCTTGTCCATATCAGGGCATTGATCACACCCTTATTTCTTTGGTTTGGGGTTGCTGGAGCTTTAGTGATTAAGTTGGCTGACTCATGCAGTGCAGGTAAACCACCTCCATTGAAATCTCTGCCATGATACAGATGCTGCAGGGATATGTGTAGCTGTGTGTGTAAGAGTAAGGTTTTTATGTGAGTCTGAATGAATAGGAGTACAGAGTTGTGTGTATGTGTGCTCATCGGGTGTACAGATTGGCAGCCCCCAAGAGAGATGACAACTGCACTGGCTCCCAGAAAAATTGACTTTGAGACCCCTACTTTAGACTTTTAAAGGATTACTCCAAGCATTGTAACATTCTACAGCCTGGATAGTGGTTATGATGCTGGGTGTACCATGGGCCCATTCCCCAATAATGGAGCAAACAGTTTTGCCAAGGTTTGCACTACTGCCTAGCGTTTATTAGCGAAACATTGCACATATGTACTCCAGGCATTATGATTACTTCAAATCACTGAACCAGTAATGGTGCTTGCAGTAACCCTTTAAGTTTGAGTAGGAACTGCACCACATTTTTGTTTCATTTTTTCCACATTTTGTACATTTCTGCGGGATATGTGGAATCTTTATAAATAAACTTTTACAACAACTCTGATGTAGCAAATTTTCCTAATATGTAGGCTTCATTAGTGCATGTATCTGTTTGAAATAGTTTCAATTATACATGCTGGATGCTTAATAGTCTGAATTTCTTAATGTGTAAATTATCCCTGTGGGCCCTCGCTATCATATATGCATGGATTATTGTTTACTTTAGGAATCTGAGTAGAATAATTAATTTAATATAAAATAAACGTATATTTTCCACTTTGTTCTCTGGATGACCTCTTTCACACACTTTTTTTTTTAATTTATTTTTTTATTTTTTATTCAAGGCCTTTTGAACGCACCATAACTATGCACAAAGACAGTGCAGGACATGTTGGCTTCATTTTCAAGAATGGAAAAATAACATCAATCGTTAAGGATAGCTCTGCAGCAAGAAATGGTCTCCTCACAGAACATAACCTGTGTGAAATCAATGGCCAGAATGTGATTGGGCTAAAGGTATTTTTCTTTTCTTAACCAATTCCTACTGAACCTCTGAAACCATTAACTTGTTACAATTTAGAGAGTGTAGCATGCAATCTAACAGAATTTTGCATTACGAAAAAAAGCAATATTTCATGATGAGTAAAGACTGTTTTACATTATAGAACACTTTCTCACGTTGTTACTCCATTTGGTAGTCTTATGAGCTTCCTATAAAATGGAATGTGTTGCACTCTTATACACTTTAATATGCGGATAGTTGATTCTTATTAAAATAATGACGTACAGCTGTCTTGGAGAAATTTATGGCTTTAGTGTCGGCTTTATATTCAAACCCGTCGGCCAAGGTAGCCAACAGTTGGTTCTTGTCCTCTGAGTTCCTCATTACAAATGGGACACAGCAGGGTTGTCCCTTATCCCCCCCGTTAAACATTTTAGCTTTAGAGCCCTTGGCTAATCTCCTATGTGCCCATCCCCATATACATGGACTTAAAGTAGGAGACACTGAATACAAATTTACGATGCTTGCTGATGACAGCATGCTGACCTTAACGGACATCACGGACGTACAGCGCCTGCTCGTATTACAAATTAAACGTAACTAAAACAAAAGCAATGCACCTCCATCTGGATGCCGCATTGCTTGCTAAATTAAAAGCGGAGTATGCTTTTCAGTGGGGCAACGACAATCTCACTTTCCTGGGTATTGAATTTCCAGCCCAACCCCAGAAATTATACAAGGCAAATTAGGTCAAATTGTCCACGGATATTAAACACCAACTCCTCAGTTTGAAGGGAAAATATGTGTCCTGGATGGGATACATAGAGGCTGTAAAAATGATTATTCTCCCTAAATTGCAATACTTGTTCCGCAGGCTGCCTATCAAACTCCCACCACCATATCTGAAAACCATGCCAAAAATGCTCAACAACTATATTAGGGACAACAAACGACCCAGAGTAGCAACTTCATTACTCTACAGGCCTTTTAAATGTGGCGGTCTGAGTTTACCGAATTTATTAATGTACTATACAGCATCCCAACTCACCCCATTGATCATGACACACCACCAAAAGGTTCAGCCAGCCTGGCTTCATATTGAAGCCACAGATACAGAAGGGCAAGAACTTACCACTTTAGCGTGGATCCTACGCCATCTTAGATAGCAACACCAACATATGCTACCCACAACTAACCCTTTTAACCAACATACGCTAACCCTTTTAATATGGGACAAACATCACACTCTACACCCAAATCGCACTGTCTCACTGGCGATGCCACTGAAAGCCTTCATGACTCTCATACCTAACTTCCAGGTGTCATTGTGGTCCTCCCATGGTGTTACGCATTTCCACCAATTGATACACACACAGGGTTTTTGCACATCTTCAGGCCCCCTATGGCCTGCCAGAGACAGCTAGCTTCACATATCTACAGATCAGGTCCTGGTTTCAAAATCACATCGCCCCCAACTGGGACCCTGTAACTGGGCACCAGCTGTCGGACTTGGAAAAGCTCTGCATCCAACAGAAAACCCCTACCAAACTTATTTCCCTCCAATACGCAACTGAAACCTCCCTTTGTCAAAGCTTGGGAGATGGAATTTAAAACAACTTTAGAAAAAACACAAAGGTCACATTATTCTAGCTAACAAAAAGTTTACTCTATGCACAGCACACACAGAATTCACCAGGAAAATCCTCTATAGATGGTACCTGGTGCCCAAAGGACTGAAGCATATGAAGCCAGGATCTTTGAGCCTATGTTGGAGGTGCCAGCAGGCTCCTGGAACCATGTACCATATGTGGTGGATGTGCTTTAACCCCTTAAGGACCAAACTTCTGAAATAAAAGGGAATCCTGACATGTCATGTGTCCTTAAGGGGTTAAGCTCACACCATTTTGGGATAAGGTGGCAAAACTTATTTTGACCTCTGCACAAATAGATCTACTAAAAAAACAGAAATGGATCTACTGCAACGAGTTTATCGCAAGATAAGCAATACTTGATTTACCACATTCTTATAGCAGCCCTTTCTACCATAAGCAAAGTCAGGCTAACGAGACACCGCTAACATTAAAATATGCACCCAGGTTATCAACTACACAGAGTCCTACGAAATCATGGCCAGAATGTCCAAACCACCCAAACGATATTGGAAAGAGGCTTGGGACCTCTGGGACTCCCGGTGCGCCTTGTCCGGATTGACCACATCTTGACCAGTAAGGCGTAGCCGATATACCCGGTAACCACATTATAAATAACCCAGGACCGGCAGCTGAGCTTATCTGATTTGTATGTACATTGGTTTCGGGGAGTGGGATGATGTTACAGGCGAAACTACCTACCCATGTGTGGAAGGTAAAGTATGGTGAACGAATGTAGGAATACACCTAATGTACTACGATACTCCATAATACTGCTTACTTATACCATCCCACGGTATGACTCTACATTATACTACATGGGGAACCCCTTACTTCAAACCCCCTTTCCCGGTTTACCCCGTTGATATCCCCAGTTACTATCGCGGGTTTACTTTAAAAACAGATGCATTTGTAAGATATGTCCAAGGTATCCATCTTGCTATATTGTTTGCGGTAATGATACACTGCTATTACTGCTACTTACCACCCACATGTGATAACCCGCATTACACCTTATTATCCTGTTACCATTGTTGGCATGTAGTTTGTAGTTTTGTTACTTTTTTAAGGGGATTAACGGGACAAGCTGCCTAAATAGTGGTTTTAACACTATAGGGTCTGGAGTACACATTTGTGTTCTTGACCCTATAGTGTTCCTTTTAATGATCAATCTCTTTATTTGCCTGTTTCTGTGGCGATCAGATTATCGTCTTAGGCATGGCTCTTTGCTTAAATACATACGTTTCGGAAAAAATTTTTTCCTTCAAATACACAACTTGTGTTTAAGAAGTATATGTTTCTTACTGAACATATACTAAATAATATAGGATCAAAAAGTACTAGACTGTTTTTACACACAAGTTTAGCAACTTGGAACAAATAACATTTTACCAACACTTTATTTTACATAGGAAGTCTTTCTCAACACATTCTGTACATAATTTCATATATGCAAATTTAGTCTGTGGGTAGTATTTTTATTCCAATATGTTTATTTCAAGTATGGAGCCCTGGTGATATTTTTGTAAGTTTATTCCAGATGGTGAAATTTGTTTTCTATAAAGAATTTTATTTTTTTATTATGTGTGGCAGATTTGCCAAAATATGGCATACTATTTTAAAATAAAAACTGTTTCACAGGATTCCCAGATTGCTGACATACTTGGAACATCTTTGAATGTAGTGACGCTCACCGTAATGCCATCCTATATCTATGAGCATATGGTAAAAAGGTGCGTAATGGACATTTAGTTACATAACTTTAAATTGGTTTTACAGATACATATCGTCCTCGCCACAAGAAATGGACTGTAATGGAAAATGATTGCCCTGTTGGAATGTCCTTGTCTCTCTCTTTTCCCCCCTTGGCTCTCCCTTTCCCCTCTCCCTTTTCCCCTTGGCTCTCCTTTCCCCTTGGCTCTTCCTTTCCCCCTGCCTCTCTCTCTCTTTGCCCCTGCCCCCTCTCTCTCTCCCTTTGCCCCTGCCCTCTCTCTCTCCTTTGCCCCCTGCCCTCTCTCTCCTCCCCTGCCTCTCTCTCTCCCCTTTGCCCCTGCCCTCTCTCTCCCCTTTGCCCCTGCCCCTCTCTCTGCCCCCTGCCCCGCCCTCTCTCTCCCTTTGCCCCGCCCTCTCTCCCTTTGCCCGCCCCTCTCTCTCTCTCCCTCTGCCCCGCCCCCTCTCTCTCTCCCTTTGCCCCTGTCCCCGACTGTCTCCCTCCCCTCCCCTAATTGTGTTAAATAATACTTTCAGTTATGTAGAACTCCTATGCTTTCATGTATTTTTTTATTTTTATTTATTTTTTTAACCAGGCATATACATTTAACTTGCCGCCTTCTTACCATATACATTTTATACTTGCCTTATGTTTTTGTTTTTCGTGGCTACCCTTTCCAGAACTTCAAAATGTTCATTACAAATGCATAAAAGTTAGTTAAAATGGGCAAATATCCTGCTTTTTATGGTAGTGTGGTTCTGCTCCGATATAGATCTAGATATATACTCTCTATATTTATTTTGAGAGAGCAAGAGTAATCTCCTAAACTGCTCCTCCTAAAATCAGATGCTGTACATTTTTAAATAACTTCTACCAATAAAGTAAATGACAATTTTATACACTATTTTTGTTTTTCCTTGAATATATGTGCTAGCTATTCATCTCATGTTTTTCTTTTTCCATTTTTATTGTTGTAGCTGTCACATTCACGGTCTGTATAGTATATACCGGTATGTAGCCGGTATTGAAGTTGTCTTAACTGAATATTAATTTCTTCTCCATTAGAATGGCTTCAAGTGTTATTAAGAACTTGATGGACCACAGTGTTCCTGAGGTTTAAAGGATATCGTCACATTTTGCCTGAAAGCAGAATCTCTACTGAGCTTGGACATATTTTATTCAGCAGCCATCTAGGATATCTTACAAGACCAAGATTTCTTTTTTCCTTTTTATACTGCATGTTAACAGTTGCATTATATAAAACTTCAGGGCCTATTCCAAGTCAGCTCTAAATATATGTATGTGCTACTATTACTCTTTTTTTCTATAGGTAGACTACCGCATTTCGATCATATGTTTAATAGCTGTTATTTCTAGTCTTGCAAGCGCTGAATGAGTGTTTGTTTCACAAACATGAAAATCTCCTGAAAACTGATTTAGTTATCAGCCGTTTTACTTGTACCAGTATCTGTTTACTCCTGTAATAAGATTATAAATGCACTATTGCTTTAGATGGTTGATTATTAATTTTACAGTTAGAGAAGTGTGCCTGAAAATGCTGTAATTTTCTATTACCTGTACAAGATAGCTATTTTCATATGTATTGCTCCTGTAAAAATGCATGTTAGGAATAACTCATAGAATGTGCTAATTGCTGCAATTTAAGTTCTTCAGCACAATGATGGCTAATGTTGGGCTTTCCATGATGCTCTACAAGCACGGTTAGCCATCACTGTCCTAGCAGAACGTAGGTATGAAGAAGATTCTGGCAAACTCTGAATGTCAACAATATGTCGTACACAAGGTCATGTGTTGACAACAACCATTAGTTGTAGACCAAGTTTCTCCAGTGATGTGCATGGTCTCTTCCAGATCGAAGCACAATTATTTACAGCTTCTCCATGATTTAAGTCTGTTAATATTACTACCTTGAATAATGTCTGTTTAATTTTTTTTCATCTATCCATTAGTTATTTTTTTGTATATGAATGCTGTTACGTTGCTGCACATAGCCAGATATAAGAATTATTGCAAATTCCTCCAATTTATTTTGCATAACAGATTTGAGACTTTTGACTCCAAAAAGCTGTGGGGTATTTTTTTGCCTCTTAGATAAAGTACATTTTCAAAATAATACTATTAAAGGAAAAATGTCTGCCTTACTGTTATACATTCAATGGTTTGGTTTATGTATAAAACATATGTGCTACCACACTTTTCTTATGTATCACTGAAATCTTTTAAGGCATACACCCTATGTATCAAAATAAAATTATATTCAGATACAGGGTATGTCTGCTTACATGTGCCTATTTACACAAGTATACAAACAAAGGGGAAACTTTACAATTTGACCCTAATACGTTATGATCTTGTAAAACATTGCAAATTCCTAGCCTGCATAAAGCTATCAGCACAGATGCATAAGATGATCAATATCTAATATTCTGGCATCCTTAAATATTCCTAATTTTTAAAAAAAATCTCATTGACAGGATATCAAATTACAAACACTGTTAGCCTTTTCTGAAGATTTGTCTAGAGCAATGTTTCCGAATTGGTGTTCCGTGAGAAGAAAATTGGGGTTTGCGGCAATTTGCTGATCAGGTAGCCCAAGCATCATTATCATTGAACAGGGGCCGGTCAGCAGCCATTAGCAGCTTTCCCTGGGTGCCCCTGGTTTAGCACTTTTCCTTCATTCAAATGAAACCGAACACCAGCTCCCTGGAGGCTGTTCATATGAAGAAACTCACAAATTGTCCTCAGCAGTACTTAGCCGCGATCGTTATGGAACTAAATTCGGCATGAGGACTTTGTAGGCCCCCGGTCACCTCAGCGTTACTTAGTCGCAAATGTTATGGAACTGTTTTCAGCATGAGGTGACCTGTGTGGTTCCCAGACAACTTGGCATGGGGTTTTGATCGACTTTGCAACCTGCCAGGAGAGCGCTTTTTGTAGGAAAGGTGCCGGAGACCATGGGGCACGAATGCTACCTAAGAGCCAGGTGGGATAGCCTAAGAATCGGTATCATAAGGCACCAGTGACAGGGAACGGTGCAAAACAAAGGAGTTGCCTAGACTCCCAATAATAAATGGGGGTCTTGCTCGGGGCCAATTTATACAATACACAAGATCCAGTGCACTCACCTATCCACTAAACAGCAACGTCAATGTTGAAAGATTTTATTCGGGTTTTTTTGTTTTTAAATACTTAATCTAGGCAAAACTAATAAAATCTGTCAACATTGAAGTTGCTAGTGGATAGGTGAGTGCACTGGATCTTGTGTATATATATAAAAAAAAAACAAAACGCTAACTTTGGCCAATGTTTGTGACTAAGTTGCTACCTCAAAAGACTGGATATACCCCATTTGAAATACCCTGGGTTATCTACATTTGAAAATGGTATGCCATTTTCACATTCCTGGGCAACCATATGGTCTCAAAAGGCAACACAGACCCTGCAAACCAAGCTGGCAAACTGAAATGGGCAAGCTCTATATTGATCCTGTAACTTTCCAAAACACCATAAAACCTGTACATGGGTATTTTTATACTTGGGAGACCTCACTGAACACAAATACGAGTGTTAAAAACTGTAAAACTTATCACGACCATGAAATCACTAGTAAAAGTGCAGTTTTTTGTGTAAATTTAAAAAAAAAATATATGAACGCTAACTTTGGCAAGCGTTTGTGGCTACTACATAAGATTGGACATACCTCATTTTGAATACTGTGGGTTGTGTACTTTTACAAATGGTGTGCCATGATGGGGTTAATTTCATTCCAGGGCTGCCATACGGTCTCAAAGGCAACATAGGCCCAGCAAACCAATCTGGCAAATTTCAATGTGCAAACATGGAAAAGCCCTATATTTGACCCTTGTAAGTTTGCAAAAATCCATAAAACCTGTCCATTGGGGGCACTGTTGTACTCGGGAGATGTTGCTGAAGACATATTGGGGTGTGTTTTTTTTTGTCAGTAAGACATAACAGGAACTGAGAAGCAATGCTTAAAGTACAATGTGAGTGGAAAAAAAAAAAAAAATCACTACCCAAGCTGAGCAACCGACCAGACGTGTTTTGTGAAGAGCTCCGGCTCCACAGACTGCATAATAGCCTAAAAGCCACCTAAAAAGTGAAAATAAAAGCAATACACATTACAGCTTGGACCCCGCGAAGAAAGATGGGGCGCAAGCACAGAAAACTAGCCCAACTGGAGAGTTCTTATCTGCCAGATAGATATCCTCAGATCCTTCGACAGACCACAGGCCTCGGCCCTGCCCAAGATAGCCCCAGGCAGAACACAAGGCTCGAGTACATCAGATGGCTTCGATGGGGAGGAAGGATCTGTGGCCTCGCAGGCACCCAGCAGTGTTCACTGGAGGACAGACTCTAATGCTGATATATCCCCATCCACTAAAGGAGACATTACTTAGGAGAAACTGCTTATAGATCTTTGTACTGTCCGGAAGGCAGACCAAGCAGGGGTGCAGGCGGAAATAAGCAGCATGACCCACCGCGTGGACGAAGTGGAATCCCGAGAGGGACTGCTGGCTGACACCCAAAGGCAAACAGATGCCATCGCCCATCAGGTCCAGCGACTTACCCGAACAGTCACAGCACTTGAGGCTCGGCACCACCATAGAAACATAAGGCTTCGAGGTGTGCCAGAAACCGTGAGTCCGGAGACCCTGCTGAACTTCGCTCATAAAGTAGCCGGAGTGCGGGGTGACAGTGGAACGACGCCAATATTATCGGCATTCAGAATTCGAAAGGCCCCTAATGCCCCTGCTGATGCACCTCGGGACATTATAGTAGTAACTCGGGCCATTTCTGTCAAGACTTCCCTCCTGACACGCTCCAGAAATCATCCCACTGTCACTGTGCAGAATTACCAGATTAAGGTCTTTGATGACCTACCGTTTACAGAGCTGCTAGAGCGGCGAAGATGCATGCCGATCACCAAGATCCTAAGGGAGCATGGCATAAGGTACCGGTGGGGGGTGTCAGGGACTTTGGTGATGCCCCACGAAGACTCAGTGATGGTGCTGTCAGCGGGGGAGGGCCCAGAGAAACTTTTCCGAGCATTGAAGCTGCCTTCTACGACGTTGCTCCCATTGAGAACTGCATATCTGACTATCCCAGCCCCCGGTATACGGGACGTAGCCCAGTACAAAACCCAGGACACCCTACATAGAGTAAACCATGTTAACTTAATTAGGGTCTCTACATACCAAAAACCCACCTTCCGACCACTGGTTTCAGGACTATTTTTGTTTTGTATTTCTGTTAGTTTAGAAAGGGGAGGGGGAGACCCCATATAAAAGTCCCCAACTAGCCGAGAACATCCCAGGCTGCCAAAGGGTCTATCTAAATCGCATGTTATAACTGGTTGAACACACGCTCATTCGTGCTAACCATTGTTTTTATTGTTTTTCACTTTTATCGGACTATAATGTTCTCTGTGATGGCTCAACAGGGCGGGAAGCATATGAGGGCAGGAGAGCAGGCATAGTAAATTATATGATACTTTAAAAAGACCATTTAATAGTGAGAAAAACGTTATATAATTAGTGATGTCGCGAACCGTTCGCAAACTTGCCAATCTCCGGCAGACCCTCCCTCCCAGACCCTCCTACTTCCTGGACAGCATCCATGTTGAAGGCAGCTTCAACGTGGATGCTGTCCAGGAGGTGGGAGGGTCTGGGAGGGAGGGTCTGCCGGAGATTGGCAGGGATGTGCCAGCTGACCGGAGTTCGCCACGAACCCGTTCGCAGCAAGTTCGCAAACGGTTTGCGACATCACTATATATAATGTGTGGGTACAGTAAATGAGTAAGAGAAAAATTACAGCTAAACACAAACACCGCAGAAATGTAAAAAGAGCACTGGTTCTTAAAGGACCACTCTAGGCACCCAGACCACTTCAGCTTTATGAAGTGGTCTGGGTGCCAGGTCCAGCTAGGGTTAACCCACATAGCAGAGAAACTGCTATGTTTATGAATGGGTTAAGCCTTCCCCCTAAATCTCTAGTGGCTGTCTCATTGACAGCCACTAGAGGCGCTTGCGTGCTTCTCACTGTGATTTTCACAGTGAGAGCACGCCAGTGTCCATAGGAAAGCATTATGAATGCTTTCCTATGTGACCGGCTGAATGCCGCACGTGCGCATTCAGCCCAGGAGGAGGAACGGAGGTGGAGAGCTCCCCGTCCAGCGCTGGAAAAAGGTAAGTTTTACCCCCTTTCCAGAGCCGGGTGGGAGGGGGACCGTGGGGGCACCCTCAGGGCACTATAGTGGTCCTTTAACGGTAAGAAAATTGAAAAACGGTCTGTTCACCATGGTGTTAAAAGGTTTAATATCTTGCTATATAAATTGGTCATTAATTACATACAGGAGGCTACTGCAGGGTCTAACAAGCTATTAACAGCAACAGTGATTAACTCCTCAATGGCAGGGGATTGAGCAGTGAGACAGTAGGAGCATGAGCTAGACACCAAAACTGCCCAAAAGTTGTTTTGGTGACTAAAGTGTCCCTTATATCCAGGGATAGTCAACCTGGTCCCTACCGCCCACTAGTGGGCAGTTTGGGATTTCAGGTGAGCGGTGGTGGGTTCTGCATAAAATGTCCAGTGGGCCTCGATGGCTGTGGACCAAGGCTGGTAGGGGAGATCCTTTCATCTCCCCTGCCGGCCCATGCAGAGCCAGCCTTGCTGTGAGCCTTCTTGGGCTGGTGATGAGATCAGATCTCCCTCACCAGCCCGCTGGCACTAAGTTCCAGTAGAGTGAGGGAAGGACCTGGGAGGCTTTGTGTTCCTCCCGCTAGCAGGCTGGTTGAAGCATTGCCGCGCGTTACCTTAGGAGAGGTTAGGAGAGTCAGCCTGCAGCCAGAGGAGCTGCAGGCTAAAGTGAACACGCCACCACAGGATCACCAGGGCTTGCAGCATTATGTCCACCCTCCCTGGTAAAAGGTAAGAAGAAGGGAAGTAGAGACATTAAGACAGATTTTCACATCTTACCCTCCTACACACAGAACAGATCCTATGCACCTATATATATATATATATATATATATATATATATACACACACACGCGCATGCACGCACCCCCCCAGGGGAACTAGCAAGTGTGTGTCAGGGACGACCTTGCAGGGGGTGACCCTCACAGACGTGTAATTCAAGATAGAAGCGACCCCAAGAGATAGACCAAGCCCCTCCTAACCTAAGGCCCCCGGGGATTGGTCTATCTCTTGGGGTCACTTCTATCTCGAGTATCACCTGTACATCATTGGTGGTGTCTAGTTTTTTTTTTTTAAACCCTTAATCTAGGCAAAAATAATAGGGGTTTAGTTACATTATATGATCATACATTGCATAAGCCTGCCACAACGTCAATGTACCCCATCTTTGGCAGGTCCTACTCTAACAGCCTAATGTCTGCTCTTATAAGATTAACCCACTTGCTTGGAAAAAAAAAAAAAAAAAAAATCAACTGGGGCTCTCTGCAGTAGAAGGCTAAATAGGGCCCTGGGATGAGGCACCTGTGACAGGGAGGGGTGCAAAACCAAGGAGTTAAATAGACTCCCACACCTACATTGTGTGTTTAAAAAAAAACTAATAAAATCTGTTAACATTGAAGTTGCTTTTTTAGTGGATAGGTGAGTGTGCTGGACAGGGCCGCCATCAGGGGGTGACAACCATGATGGTTGTCACGGTGTGGTAGAAGCTACAGGATGTTTAAGTAAAGTTCAGTACTCACATGCAGGGCCAGATTAGGAGCCCAGTGGACCTGGTGCTGACAATTATGACGGGCCTAATTACAAAATCATATCGATCAAAAACAGTAAAACACTCCCAAGCGTCATGTATCTGATGGAGATGGTGCTGGAGAGAAAGAAAACAGCAGCTATAAGAAAACACATACCCTAGGCTAGTCTCTCACTAATTTATGTTTTCATCTTTCAAGTAAATCCATAACCCCTAACAGCAGTGTCCAGTCAAGCAGGAAGTCAATGGGCACGGTAAAAGGGTGTGCCACTGACACAAATCACTTAACCTGCCAAAAGGGGCGAACATGCCCAAAATGAGGATATGTCTGCCCAAAGAATTAGAAGGCCAGCTTGGTATGAATGCATGTCATTCATCATGCAGCTGGCCAACTAAGGGCATACTATGCAGACAGCACCCTGAGCTTGGCATAAATGCATCTAATGATGCGCTCGCTCAACGCTTTCTAAGGACTGTCCCCTAGCACTTGCTGGTCCACTTGTCTCCTTACCTTCTTACTAGCAGGCAGAAGCTCCTGGTATATAGTCTGGAACAGAGAAAAGCTGTATGTAGTGAGTGTAGAAGAAAGGGAACATGCCACATTGTTAGAGAGACCAAAGTCAGCATTACCTTAAAGGATCACTATAGGGTCAGGAACACCAACATGAATTCATGACCCCATAGTGTTAACACCACCATCTAGCCCCCCTGAGCCACTCATTCCTCCATAAATATAGCAAAATCTTACTGTAGTCAAGCCTGAAGCTGTAACTCTGCATGCTGTTAGACTCAGAAAAACAAGCAGTCTGCTGAAATCATTAGATGTGGTGGCCTGATCCAATCACAGTGCTTCCCCATAGGATTGGCTGAGACTGACAAAGAGGCAGATCAGGGGCAGAGCCAGCATGATTCAAACTCAGCCCTGGCCAATCAGCATCTCCTCATAGAGATGAATTGAATCAATGAATCTCTATGAGGAAAGTTCAGTGTCTGCATGCAGAGGGAGGAGACGCTGAATGTTTGGATGCATTTTAGGCAGCCATGACCCAGGAAGGATCTCTAACAGCTATCTAAGGAGTGGCCAGTGAAGTTATCACTAGGCTGTAATGTAAAGACTGCATTTTCTCTGAAAAGACAGTGTTTACAGCAAAAACCCTGACAGTAATGATTCTACTCACCAGAACAAATTCAATAAGCTGTAGTTATTCTGGTGACTCTAGTGTCCCTCTAACTATATTCATTGTCAGCCAGCCCACACAAGTTTTGTTCCCATACATCCCTCTTAAGTTTCCATACTTAAGTAAGGGTATGTGAAAAGTAGTTATGTTTGCCACCTTTCTTGGAAAAACATACCGGCCTTGCTCATTTGCATAATTAAATATGTATGGGTGACATCACATGATGTAAATCACAAGGAGTGACATAAGAGAAAATGCTGTAAAATCACCAAAAAACTTAGTTTGATTCTGCTGTATAGATGGATTCCTTCCAGTGGCCCCATGTCTCCCAGTGCCCCCATGTGTCGATTACTCCAGGTCTCAGTGTTCCTATGTATCAGTGCCCCATGTCTCCCAGTGTCCCCTAGTGTCGTGTCCCCAGGTCTCCCAGTGATCCTATGTATCACAGTGTCTCAATGCCCCATGTATCCCAGGGTTCCCATGTCACTAGGAAGACGAGAAGACCTTGGGACACGGGGAGACCTAGGGACACAGAAACACCAGTGACACTGGGAAACTAGGGTACTCTGGCTGGGATGCATGGGGATACTGGGGAAATAGGGGACACTTGAAGACATGGGGACACAGACACTAGAGACACTGGCTGGGGGACATGGGAAAATTGAGACATGGGGGCACTGGGAGACAAGGGGACAAGGAGACACCAAGGCCACAGACACTAGGGACACTAGCTTGGAGACATGGACATTGAGACACTTGAGGCACTGGGAGACATGGAGGCACTAGAAGACACCAGGGACACTGGCTGGGAGACATGGGGACACTGGGAGACGTGTCCCCATGTGTCTGTGTCATAATGTCTCCCAATGTCCTTTAGTGTCTCAGTGTCCCCATGTCTCCATGCAGCCTTTCCCCCCATTCCTTACTTCCCTGAGCTGTAGGCTGTCTCTGCAGGGTGGGAGTTGCTGTCTAGACTCTCTGTAGCTGCACCCCTGCAGATCAGTGAGTATAGATAGGCAGGGAGGGATATGCTGGAACTTCCTATCCCTGCCTGTCTCCACATACAGCGTCCCCTACTGGCCAGTGCTGGTATTGCATAGTAATTTCCATTTATACTGAGAAAAATACCAGCATTTGTATTGCCAGTATCACTGTACTATTGCCACCAGCCAGGCAGCCTCAAATACTGGCTGTGCCAATAAAATAAAAGCCAGGTGGAATCCCTAAGAGTAGTGTGTGAAAAAATAAATGTGTTTTATAATAATTTTTTTTTTTTTTTTTATAAATCAATGGGCCTATTCCCTGGGCCTGGAGCTGCAGCTCCATCAGCCCCTAATGTTAATCTGGCCCTGCTCACATGGTTAAAACAACTGTGCAACTATCTTGGACCAGGGCGCATGTGTGAACAACATTACATTTATTGTGGGGGGAGGGGAAAATGCTCCATTTGCACAACATTCACTGCACTAACAAACACTCTGCATCCACTACACTGACACACACTCTGCATCCACTATACACACAGCATCCACTACACAAACATCCTGTATTTACAGTACACACACTACATCCACCACACATTCAGACACTCTGCATCCACTATACAGAGACACTGCGTCTAATACACACACTACATCCACTACAGACACTGCATTCACTAAACACATTGCATCTAGTACACACAAACACTACAGCCACTACACAATCGCACACACATCACTTTACACACACTACATCCACACTAAGATATGCAACAGGGTTGATGTTCCAGGAGGGATAAGCCAAATGGCAAACGATTTAGGTAAACTAGAAAAATGGTCAGAGTTGCGGCAACTGACATTTAATGTGGATAAGTGCAAGATAATGCATCGTGGACGTAAAAACCCAAGGGCAGAGTACAGAATATTCGATAGAGTCCGAACCTCAACATCTGAGGAAAGAGATTTAGGGGATATATATTTCTGATGACTTAAAGGTAGGCAGACAATGTAATAGAGCAGCAGGAAATGCTAGCAGAATACTTGGTGGTATAGGGTGAGTCAAGTCAAAAGGTATGTGCTCATGCCATTGTACAGAACACTGGTAAGATCTCACTTTGAGTATTATACGCAGTACTGGAGACCGTATCTCCAGAAGGATATTGATAAATACTTTAGAGAGAGTTCAGAGAAGGGCTACTAAACTGGTTCATGGATTGCAGGATAAAAATTTACAAGGAAAGGTTAAAGGAACTTAACATGTGTAGCTTGGAGGAAAGACTTGGCACCTGCCCACACTGCCAAAAGCACCACTTGGCACCTGCCCAAACTGCCAAAAGCACCAATGACCATGGGATTACTGACGGGGAATATGATAGAAACATTGAAATACATAAAGGTAATCAACACAGTAAAGGAGGAGACTATATTTAAAAGAAGAAAAACTACCACAACAAGAGGACATCGTCTTAAATTAGAGGGGCAAAGGTTTACAAATAATATCAGGAAGAATTACTTTACTGAGAGGGTAGTGGATGCATGGAATAGCCTTCCATCTGAAATGGTAGATGTTAACAGAGTAAAGGAGTTTAAGCATGTGTGGGGATAGGCATAAGGCTATCCTAACTATAAGATAATGCCAGGGACTAATGAAAGTATTTAGAAAATTGGGCAGACTAGATGGGCCACATAGTTCTTATCTGCCATCACATTCTATGTTTCTATGTAAAGGCAAAATTCTTAGGCAAAGGTGTCGATACCTGCTTAGTGTAGGACTCCACTATTTTGCCTCAAACTACTGCCTTTACAAGGGCACTCGTGGCTCTCAGACCTAGCTCTTTCTTGAATGTGCTTGGGCGGTACAATCCCAGTTCAAGAAGACACAGAATATCCCTAGGCGGGGATTGTACCGCCAAGCGTATTCTGACAGAGCTACCTTTGCTCTACAAACTAAGTGCCATTCTATTTATGTTATTATATACTACACTATATTCTGCTGTATGTGGTTTTTACATATCCCACTACCTATGAGACTACATTTACCTCAATAAATTCATTAAGGCGTACACCCTCTACTTATTTTATGTCCATAATCAAATCCACCTAGTTAGTAGAGAACATCAGCTGGGCAGGACAGCACAAGACATTTAACAATACACACCCTGCACCTATAATGGGCGCAGGATGAATTGGACAAACATCTGGGAAATCACAAGAGGCGTTTGTGGCAAACATGACTATGCCATGAGCTCCTGGAGGAGCCTGCTAGCTAGCCTCCTGCCAAGGACTATGGGCCATATACAAAGACCCTGTTCGGGAGTTAACCCTGCCCAGACGCCATTAGCAACTTTCCCTAGGTGCCCCTGGTTTGCCACTTTCCCTTCATTCAAATGGAACCAAACACCAGCTCCCTGGCAGCTGTTTGCATGAAGAAACTCACAAATTGTCCTCAGCGGTACTTAGCCGCGATCGTTATGGAACTAAATTTGGCATGAGTACTTCATGGGTCCCTGGTCACCTCATCGGTACTTAGTCGCGAATGGAACAGTTTTCAGCCTGAGGTGACTGTGCGATTCCCAGACAACTTGGTCTGGGGTTTTGAACGACTTTGCAACCCGCCAGGAGAGCGATTTTTGGAGGGAAGGTGCCTGAGATCAAGGGGCACAAACGCTACCTAAGAGCCAGGCACAGCAGCCTATATCTCAGACGCAGGAGTTCTCAGAAAGTTGACCGGCCAAAGCACCAAACGCCCTGGAACTATTTTGCGCATAGGACCATGTGGGCGGCCAGTCAGAACTTTAACACGGTAGGGTTTCCCCTACGCTGCATGGATCTGAGCACTATTTGGATAACTTGGGCACTCAGATCAGGGCTATTTGGGGGATGTATTTGTGGGGTTATTATATATTTTTATGATGTTTGGGGTATTTTTAGGTTTTGTATTTGCCTCTGTTCTTGGGAGATAATTTGCTTACTGGTCTTTAATGCAATTATCTCCCAGGCACAGAGATTTGTGGGAGGGGCTTGTCTTGTATTGAATGGAGACCCCATGCTAGGGGTTGTGTATAAAAGCAGGCAACTTGGCCATAATAAACCAGTTCCTTTACACCCTTCACGCAGTCTGGGCTAGTGTTTGGGTGGATCAGCCTGTCATTTCTGCAGGACAGCTTAAATCACTTGGAACTGTACCCAGGACCCTGTTCCAGGGCGGGAAGCGACAAGAGACCCCAGCCAAGAGTACGATGGAAGTGTACGATTTCTGCCTTAGCCACACATCCAGTAGTGTTAAATTTATTATAAATGGTTTAACACTCAATGGTGGGACACTGCAAAAGGACTACAGGCACTATTTCCAGTTCATTTAGATGAAATTGTTATAGTGCCCACAGTGTCCCTTTAAACACTGCCCAAAAGTGTTTGCCAAAAGATGTCTATCAGCTTAGCTGTCAAACATGCTTAAGAGTTGGGATGATAGACAAATCTCTTCTTCCTAACTGGCTAATGTACACTTCTACAATAGTCAGTGATTTATCAAACAAACACACCCCACAAACTTTTACCTAGCCATTAAACATTAGACTAAAGTGTTGTGCAGGAAGTTACTATAAAACTGTATTTATTGTAAAAAAATTATTTAATTACACATGAAAATATATATATATATATATATAT